GGCCTCTATTTGCCCTGTTCCTATATTCAATCAATTCTTCATTGATGATCTCCCTTCTCATCATTTCGAGTAGGGCGTATCATTTCGAGTAGGGCGTATCATTTCGAGTAGGGCGTCATAGGTGGTGGGGTCTTGATTCTGCACATCTCTTCAGAATAAGGTATTCATGTTCAGACCTCCCCTTAGTGCAGATAGTGCCTCTCGATCGCTGACTTGTACGCAGTACGTCATCTCATCGGTGAAGCGTGATAAGAAGCTCTTTAGGGACTCCCCATGTGCTTGCCTCATGTCCTGGAGACGTTGGATGGGGGCTTCTCCTTCTTTGCTCACTGCAAACCTCTTTAAGAATGTTGTCTTGAACTCGGGCCAACTTCTAATACTCCCAGGTGGCAATCTGCTATACCAAATCTCGGCCGCTCCACTAAGCGTTAAATGGAAGGCTCTGCACTTCACGACTGGGGTGGCGCCCCTTAGGCTCATGTGAGTTTTATAAGCATTCGGATGCTTCTCCGGGTCGCCTCTTCTGTCATACTTTGGTATTTTTAGCATAACATAGTGGCTCGGGACCTGGGCATTCCTTAGTTCCCTTGAGAATGGTAGGTTCTCATCGTCATTGTCTAAGTCGCAGGACCTCTGCCGTTCATCAGAGTCGTACTCATCAGTCTCATGCCTCGGTTGTTGGTAAGAGGTCCCGAGGAGATCCCTAGCCTCTTCCTCCCTCCTCTGCCACCTATTTCTAGGTGGAGCAACACGGGTGGGCATTTTCTTGCCTTCTTTCCGCCTGCTGGGGCATTGTAGGTGGAGGAGGCGGTTTTGTCCAAGGCTGTTGAGCCTGTTGTTGCCTTAGTTTGGGTTCGGCGGGGTTGATTCTGTCAAAAATACTTCCCGCCCTCCTATGTCTTGAATCTTGCTCATAAGGAGGTGAAAAATTATCATGGCTCATTTGGACCTCGGTGGGTCGGCCAGAAGCGTAGTTGGAGGAAACATCAACTGCCACTTCCCTTTCAAATGGGCTTCCACCTCGGCCATAGTCTGGCATAGCAGCTCTATGACTTTGGACTTCATCCTCTTGCTGGTAGTGCCCTTGGGGGGAAGCCTCTCTGGCCCTGCATTTGGGCCATAAGCTCCCTCATAGCCAAATTTTGGCTAACAATATCCCTCATGTTGGCGGCCATGGCGGCCATCTCTCTTGATAATTGTGCCGTCGCACGCATCTCACCTCTTCTTTGGTGGTGGTGGAGTCTCTGACGAGCTGTTGGGGCAGCGGGCTGAGGAGGCACTTTAGTATTTTCTCTTACCCTCCTGGGGGGAGTATCTTCATTGGAGCTCATTTTATTTTGTCAGATTTCAGATTTCGCTAAGTAATGGGGCTTCCTCATGTTCTTTTCCAAGAACAAATCCTTTTTCAAGGGGGATTGTCCAAATGTCCTTTCAGTAAGCTTTTGCCACAAGGTTGCTCGTGGTTATGGTATGGTTTTCCACAGACGGCGCCAATCTGTTGACCCCAAAAAGCGTTGTCAACAGATGCCGATCTCACCCGCGCACACGTGGGCGAATGTCCAACACGCTAAGACACGTGGATAGTGTAAAACGAGTAGTTCATAGGGCGTGGGAGTAGCCCAACGATGCGGGACGATGACGTTCGGAATCCGACGGGTTGTTCGTGATCCGATTGTACAATAATTACCAACCGGTATTCGTCGATGTATATGTAAATGTGTATAAACTTGATTTGTATATTGCAAGTAAACGAGAGAGTTGAGTGAAGTATAGTTCTTTATATTGATTCTTGCATTAGCCTTTTGATGTTACACAAAGGATGTATTTATAGTGATACATGTGAAATGGGAGCCCTTGGATGAGGTGGCACGTGGCATCATCTCTTTGATTCAAACATCTTATCCTAGGTATGGGGCTTGACTTGCTAGCTTGCTGCGCATTTATTACTTGTGCAGAGCCTCCATACTAGTGACAAGACTTGACCTTTATTCTTATGACAAACGTTCCATCAATCATTCGAATAAGATCTTTGTGTAAGCGATATCTTGGGAGAAGTGACCATGGAGGATGCTCCCTTGTGGTTCGAAGGCTCCTGCATCGACTTCGGGGCTTCAGCCATTTCATACAATACTTCCACTTAAGGGCTTCAGCTATCTTCAACTAGTTTCAGCATCATGGCTTCGGGTCGTAGGCCTCAGCACGTGGACCTTGGGTACATTCACAGGCCTCGGTAAAAGGGAGCCTCGGCTAGTGGACTTCGGCTTAAAGGGCTTCGGCCATAGTCCACCTCGACGCTCTATGCCATCTCGGCTGAAGGGCCACGTGATTCGCCCTGAGTGGGCCATTGGCCCAGATAGGTTGGTCAAGTATGACAACATGCAACATAAACCATCCATTTGGATAAATAACGTCAATTAGTTAAAGATTAGGGATCCCGTCGTGAAAAGGATGAAGAAGAAAGTGCAAGAATAGTGAAAGATTGGAAATGTTTGCTGCAATTACCCAAAAATTTACAAAAGGATGGTAACGGAACAAGTGGGGTGAGACGGGATCGGGGCAACCTCTCCCGTCCCCTGGCTCCGTCGGGTAATTTCTAACCCCGTACTCGTCCCGTTACCTGTTTAAGGCGGAATGGGACAGGTTGGGATAAGGGGTGGGGCCTTTCCCCATTTACTACCCATTTAATTTTTTTTTAGTTCATTTTATCACTCCCATTCAATAAAGTGAGACGATAATATATTTATTATTTTTTAATTAATTTATTTATTTTTAAAAATTAAATTATCCAAATTCATTCGGTAAACTAAGACTTTTATTGTTTGTCGTATTCTTTGGATAATTTTAGTTGCTATATTTCATTAGAACTAATGAAATTTGGAAAAAATTTCTATTTAGAGTATAGAATTCTTCAAAAAATAAATTTTTAAAAAATTAAAACAAGATGGGACCTTTGTTACCCGTCCCCGACCCGATTGAACGGGGCGAATCTCCACGAATATCGAATTTAGTGATTTTTCTTGCCATCCCTAATTTTACATTACAACCAATAAAAATAACACATTGTATCAATATTCATTTCCATAGTCTTTATGTACCCAAAAGTAAAATATTTTTATTATCAAACTCCTGATTTCAAAACATACAAAACTTTTAAAATAAAATTTTACAAATACTAATTAATTCTTCCACAACTTACAATTTTTTCCCCACATCTAAAACTAATTCTCTTCAGATCTACCAAAATACCAAATTAGACCTTACAAAAAGTATCATTCCCTACATACCAAGAAAAAAAAAATCATTGAAAGTTTACAGGGCTCTGACATGGGGTGAGCCTCATGCGAATATTTTGTTGCAAAAAATAATTCACCCACCCCATTGTTGTGTGTTAACCGTAAGAATTCTGTGAATTTTTTCCATGTACATGTAGATATTGGTTTTTACAAAAATGTGTTAGGTAACAAATATTTTCTCGATGTATGCTGACAAGAATAATTGCATGTAGAGCCTCTTAAAAGAGACTTGGAGCCTAGAAGAGTCTTCAATACCCAAGCACCACCTACTGAGATTACTCAATCTATGTTTAGCTCGAATCATATCATAAAACAATGAATTAAACTACTTTATTCGAATTTTTTTGATATAATATTTGACATTATCTCACATGTAGGTAGATCCCGCGTGAATAAAAAAAATCCAAAAAAGAAGTGTCTTTCTCCATTGTGAGTGTCGATTAGCTGTTATGTCAAAAAAATTCGATCACCATAGCATTATTGTAAAACAAATTTTTTTTAGCTCTGACCACATTTTTCAAAATCTCCTTTTTTATGAAAAAAATATTTTTAATGACACATTTTCAAATAAAATAATTTTACACGTAAACAAATTTTTTTCTTTTTGTTCAATTTTTCAACAAAATATTTTAAAAAATAAAATTAAAAAAAATCACTATTTCAAAATTTATTAACCCTAGAAGGGAGGTAGCTTAGTTATGTCTAATTCCAATTTTTTAAAATTCATTTTTTAAATTGATTTTCAATAATACATTTTATGATATTTACAAATTTTATTAAAATTTTAATCATATATTAAAATTTTAATTTTTAACTAAATCAAACAGGAACTTATTTGCAACCAATTTAAGCTAAGCAATACATGTTCGACATCTTATAAACAACTTTTCAAATATATATTACTTTTTGCTTGAAGGTTACCTGACTCTTTTCTAAATAATTTAACTATTTAACTTTAAATAATAACGGCACTATTTATTTACCCTCTATTTCTCTTGACAGTTGTTATTGTTGTTATTATTATTATTATTATTATTATTATTATTATTATTATTATTATTATTATTTTGTTAAATGAGTTTTAGAGTAGTAATTTTTTGAAAAAAAAAAATTGAATTTACGTGTAAAATATTTCATGGCATGAATATATGATTGAAAATGATTTTGTAAAAATAAATAAATAAAGTTTTGATTTAAAAATTATGCTACTTGATTATATTTTATATGTAAATTTATATTAGTTCCTATTTGATGGGGATTAAAATCAAATTTTTAGTACATTTTGATAATAAATGATGAAATATGTGGTTAATAGGTTGTAAATTTTAATGCTTGTTTGGTATGGATTTTGATAAATGATTTTTTGACTGCTAGAAATAAAGTGGATCCTACTTGCGAATTAATTTTAATTGACTTAAAATCTGTACCAAACAAGCTATTAATATGTGGTTAAAATTAATTGTTGAGTTTGACTTAAATTAAAATGTCTAAATGCTTTCATTTGACAATTATTATATTCAAACTCTTTTTTTCAACATATTTATTTTAAATCATACATTTACATAATATATTTTGTATATAAGTTCAAAATTTCTCCTTGTTTTTTAAACACATGTTAGCCTAAAAATCAATGTTTAAAAATATATTTTCCTTGAATAACAATCGTTAAACGGGGGCTAAATAAACTAACTTTCCCCACATTTTCATACCCCAGAGCCAGACACCGGTGAAACCAGTCGTAATCTGATTTCCAGAATCGGCCAAATAGATTACGCAATACTTGTGTATGCGTTATATATTTATTTAAGGATCAGTAAATATAAATGTGTTTACATATGCTTACAGAGAACCTAGGGTTAGGGTTTCGGATATAGAATTCAGATTCTGGATGGAGGATGGTGAAGAGACTTTATCGCATGTCAATGAACCATTTAATTTTGAAATGAAACAGGAAAAATTAGAAAATGAAGAGAATAAAACCACTGAGCAATCCGTGTCGTTTTCTGAATTGGATGACTCGAATTTAAGTATAGGTGGAGAAAATGTTGATGCGGATATGGTAGAGGAGGAGAAAGAGAAGCTGCCTGCGGTGGCGGAAGTTGGAGAAGACGAAAAAGAGTCTGTTACGGAGAAATATGACGTAGCGGGACCGGAATTGGAAGTGGATGCCGTGGCGGAGCTTATTATGGATAGTGGAGAAAAGAGCGTATTCGAGAGAGTTGATTCGATGGTGCTTACGGCTGAAGAAGCGGGGGCAGAATCAAAGGAAACTCTTGCTTTGGAGAGTGAAGTCGGAGGAATGAAAGATGGCTGTGATAGGGGGGAGTCACTGCTTGCTTCGAATGGTGAGGAAGAATTGGTGCCGGTGATGGTAGGTGATGGAAGCAAGGTTAGTTCCGGCACATGGGAATTGAGTCCTCATGCTCAGTTGGATGTGAACGTAATCCGTGAAGCGCCAGTGGAAAGAGAGGGAATGGAAGCGAGGGGTCCAAAAGCCGCAGCTGAGATAGAGGAGGAGAGAGGCAAGGGACAGCACATTGAGAAAGAGGAAGGAGCTGAGCTGGAGCCAGAGAGAATTCAAATTCTTGAAATTGATTCGCGGACGTTAGTGGAAGCTGGTATAGGCGGCAAGAAGGTTACAGATAAGATAAATGATTCAGAAGGTGGGACTACTGAGAAACTGTTCGGAACTGTAGAAAAAAAAGATGATTCTAAGACCAAAATTGAGGTGGTGAATTGTAGTGAAGGAGAGCAGGTTCACAAATCTGATGATGCTAAGGGAAATTTTGGCACTGACATGAATGATAAGAGTGCAGCAGATAGGTTGGTTGCTGAGGAGAGTTTGATGGTCAGAACTTTAACGGAGGAGGAGAAGGATATCAGCGTGGAGGTTTTGAAAGGCGCGGAGTTATCTGAGCTTGCAAGTGAGGCTGAAATTGAGGAGGTAGAAGCAGTGTCTTCAGAGGAGATTTCAGCAGGAGATACTAAAATGGAAACAGAGGCATGCACGGAAATAGAAATGACAAGGGATGACATGGCCCAGGAGATTCAAGTGGTTGATTTACAAATGGAAGCTGAGGTGGTGGAAAGGAATGATGGAATTGAGACAATCCCACCCGAGGATGCAAAAAGGGACACAGAGGAAACAAAGAGTGATTTGGATGAGCCTGGTCAGGAGTTTGATGATCCACTGGCTGGAATAAAATCTGAAGATGAAGCAATGGCTGCAGAGGACACTGAAATGGAGACTGAAACAGATGTGGGTGAACCGGTGAAATCGTCTGGAGAGAAGCAGAAGAGGGGGAGGAATTCAAAAGGTCCCCAGGCCACAGCAAAACCTTCAGCTAGGAAGAAAGTGGGAGAGGACGTCTGTTTCATTTGCTTTGATGGTGGGGACCTTGTGATATGCGATCGCCGGTAAGTTCTAAATGATGTGTTGAACCCATAGAATTCTAACCTAAAAAGGAGATAAAACTAGTGTTCTGAATATATATAGTTGGCTATGTGTTTGTGATGCTTATCAATAACTGAATGTCTTTGGGTTTCCAGAGGTTGCCCCAAAGCATATCATCCTTCTTGTGTAAATCGAGATGAGGCCTTTTTCACCACTAAGGGTCGCTGGAACTGCGGTAGGCGCACCTCTTTATCTCTTCACACATGTACAATTTTGGAGATCAATATTTCATGTTTTTGATGAGTTTATTAAATGGAATATCAGGCTTCTTATGTAGTCAGCTTTGCTATTGGCCTCCGTGTGAATATTGTTGTCGAATCATTCATAGGGACATATTTAGATTTTACTTGACATTGATGATTGCAATAGGGTGCAGTTGTTCCCATGCCAGAATGTGCTTATCCATTCCTTCATTATTGCATCTTGCCTTGTTGGATGGTGATGACCTTTCACACTTTCATGGGTCTAGTTATTAGTTTTTCAACTTCTGAAATTTTCAATATCTTAGCCAAATCTAAGTGGTTTGCTTCTGCATTACTATAGCCCTTAATACCTAGATTAACTGAAAATTGCAGACTTGGTGTTTTGAGAAATGTCAACCTCAAGCCTGTATTCTGAGAAGGTTTTGCGACTGGATACATACTACCCTAACTCGAAGGAAATTGATTTTGTTCCACAAAATGTGTCATACACGCTAAGTTAACAAAAATTAGTGAAAGCAATTTTTTGCATATGCTACTTTGGTACACGAGCTATTTTCTTTCATCGTATAATGAACCACCATACTCTTCCATTAGTCTTCTAAATGTTCCTAAGTTGTTATTTGTAGTTTTTGAGAGGGGGAGCTCCTAATAAGTTTAAAAGTAACATTTAGACATCATTGTGCCATTGAACTCCGCTCAAATCAATATCCAGTTACATTAAACTTGATAACTTTTCCACTAGTTTGCTGTGTAGTAGTAGTTGGTTTTCTTTCTTAATTCTTGTTTGGCTAAAATATAATCTTATAAATTCAAGTCAAAGTCAAACTTTAATTTTAACCATACATTAACAACTACTACCCACTTATTATCCACACATTTTGTGATAATCTCATTATAATATTATCCAAACAAGCACATAATATCATTTGGTAGATCTTTTACTACAATTATATGTGTGGCCCAACAACAACTAATTGAAGGAATTGCGTTAAGCCTTTAAGTTTCTGCCTTCATGGTTCTTTTCCAATTTTCATTGTTGCTGAACGCCTCAGTTTCTCAGTTTTCTTTACCTAAACTTCGTGAGGAATATTCAAGCTTATATTGTTAATTTTAGGCTGCTATAAAATGTGCTTTTCTTATGTTTCCAGGTTGGCATATGTGCAGCATTTGTGAGAAGAATGCCCACTATATGTGTTATACATGCACATATTCCTCGTGCAAGGGTTGCATTAAAGATGCTGTTATCTTTTGTGTCCGAGGAAATAAGGGCTTCTGTGAGACGTGCATGAGAACTGTTATGCTAATTGAGAACAATCAACAGGAAAATGTATGTGCTTCCATGACCTATCTGCCTGTGTGTGTGGAATTGGTCTGGGGTTTCGCAATGTATCAACTCTATCTTGCTAATGCTAGTAATGGCATTTGTCCCCATGATTCAAATGCTCAATATTTACTACATGATTATTATTGACGTGCAGCTTATGTCAATTTATTTTGTTAAGCTCTTGATACATTTTCCTTTTGGATTTCTGTCAGTAAGCCATATCATACATGTTCAGAATTGTTGGTATGTTCGATATGATTGTTGACTTCCATCTTTGGATGTTTTATGTGGGAACTACAAATGGCAGTCAGATTGAAACTGGAATAACTTGAGATAAATTTGTCTTCTCAGTCATGAGCTGAAGGTCCAATGGGTTTGCAAGCTTCTGGACTAAAGCAAGATCCCTAGCAAAAAGACCTCAAATCTGAAGACCTTTAGTACTTGCCGTTTCCTTTTGAAATTTTCTTAATAGCCTTGAAATAATATATATGAACAGAAAGTTCGTGAAGTAGGTGATAACAAAGAAAAATAGTAAAATAACCCATGGGTGAGTAAACTGAATCCCCTCATCGCTTGTTAATTCTGTTGTATGATTTGAAGTCTTAAAGAGACAAATTTAGTCACAAAATGTAGATTGAGCTACAAAACTTTCGCATTTGAGCTGATTGGAATACTAAGATTTATCAATTTTGCTAGTGATATCTAGTCAGGACAGTCAATTTGTGGAATTCACAATTTGCTTGTTGTAGAACACCTTAGAAATTTTTTCTGCCTCAG